TATATATATATATATATATATGATAAAAGAAGTAAATATAGTGGATTCATGAGTGTAATTACCTTCACGTTGTTGAAGAGTAAGTTGCTATTTGATGAGATTTGCTTGAACAAAACTTATAATAGTGAAACTTTGCTTTGCTAATCTGGATGAAGAAAAATAAAGTCACAAATTAGTTCATACATATGATATGATAATCTAATAGGCCAAATATTAAAAGGATTACCAATCGAAAGTAGAAAAAGTACTATAAGTAGAAAACCACAATATATCAAATATTTGGTAATTAAACAATTACCAATTGAAAGTAGAAGATGGAGAGCTCAAACAAAATGTTTTGGTAAAGGGAAAGTAAAGCACTAAGGCTTTTATAGACATACAAACAAATTTCAAATCAAATTAAGTAAACGTTTACTAGTACTAGGAATATATGGGAAGCTGATTAGAAGGTGCTCTATGATATTGAAAAACCACCTCTATTGTACCCATTACTTATTTTATACTGAGTAACAAGCCTAACTCAATTTATATTGGCTGATCTATGTTAATTAAAGTCTAATCTACATATTAATTTACTGCAAATAAAACTGACAGTATTAAATAAAGAAGACTATGATACCAACTCTAATATATAGAAAACTAATAATATTGTAATCAATGAATAATTTATTTAGATCTACGCACAGCCACCCTGTAACTTAAATTAAAACAACTTAAAAATTGACTATGAATATGCCAATGAACGAAAGTCTACGTAGAGAGTGAGACACACACAGCGATAACAGTTACTATAAACTTGTAATAATACAATTTGTTTTGGTCGGGTAAATATTTTTTTTTTTAGTAAACTCACCTCCAAGATATCAATAATGGTTCTATTTTTCTTTTCTTGTAAAGGGAATATATTATTTCAATCGTTAGAAAATAATTTTTAAGACAAGGAAAATGAAAACATAAAAAGGACAGTCCGATGCAAAAAAACTTAGTACGTTATTTTAAGACTTTACATTATATGTTGGTATGACATGTAATTAGTAAACAAGAGCCTTTTATCACTACTAGAAATTCGGCAAAACCGACCAAGAAAAACCGACCAACTTTGGTCGGTCAAAAAACCGGCCAAACAACCGACCAAAGTTGGTCGGTTTTTCAAAATATTTTATTTTTTAAATTTTTTTTACGAAACCGACCAACTTTGGTCGGTTTTCTTTCTCGCAAAAATGCGGAAAACTATTTTTGAGTCCAGCGAAATTTATTTTTCAAGAAACCGACCAACAAGCCTTCTTGTCCGCAGATTCCATGGCCTTAACCAATTCAAATCCTCCTTTGATATTTCTTTTCATTATCCTTAAAGATTAAAGATTTACGGCTGTCGACAAAATTAGTTATTGAATTATTACTCTTGGGGCATAATCTGGATTGGTACAATAAGTGGATTTGGGGGGTTTTGACCTTTTGTAATTTGGGAAGAGTAGAGTAGAAAGAGGAGGTTAAATAGAGAAGGAAACCTTGAAGGATGGAAAAAGTAGCTTGTCACCATGTAAGAATTTGTTTCAAGGGTGAAAATGGTGGTGATAATAAAAGGCAGAGATCTGGAAACGTGGAGAGAGAAGAAAAGTTGTGGGGGTACATTTTTTTTTGGGAAAAATAAATTGATTTGAAGATTTTATAAACAGTAATTTTTTGTAAAAGTAAATTATGATATGGATATTATTTATCTAGGCGGATCTGATGTGTCCTCCATATCAGGGAAGTGAACAACACACATGGTCGGAGATGTTTCAAATATTAGTTTTGATAGAGTTCAAGTGTCTGAATGAAATTTTATGGAGTTCAGGGACTGGGATATCAAATCGGAACAAATACAGGTGTATCCTAGGCTATTCTGCCTATTTTTCATTGCCATTTTGCAGTAGACCAACCAATAAGACAGACTTGGCCAATAGAGTTGGTGAAATCACAAGCGACAAGCCAAGCACCTTCAGTTGATGGTTGGATTAGAAGAATTTGTACAAATTGCACATGCTTTGGCTTCTTATCTCTAGTCTCTGATCTCTGCTATGTACTAGTATATATAATCGAAAAGATAAAAGATAGAAATTTGAAATTAGAACATTTTTTTCACATAGTTTACAAGAAAGTAAGAAATGCCTAATTAAAAAGCATGAGTCAAACTTGTGACATTTGAGAAGAAACTATTTACTTAGTCCACATTTTCCAGAAATTTTGCTCATTCAACAATCAACATAATGCAATGCAAGTAAAAACTACCTTTTGTTAAAAATTTGCAAAGAAACAAAGAAAGCAGCTGAAAGAAAAGCCTAACTGAAAAAGTTAAAAATTTTCCCTGCAAAGAATTTTAAAGCTAAATGCCTGATCTAGCGTCGCTGAGTTTGTAACTTGTTCTGACATGCCAAAGGCAAAGAACACAATTTGAACTCAAACTTAGAATGATATTGCAAGCAACAAACAAAGAAGCAACAATTAGTGTACACAAGTTGTAATTATGAGCCCTCGGAATGGGCTCATATTATATCGAACGTTCAATGCCAGCTATCGCACTAGAATTTTTCAACAGCTACTCCATCTCTCAAGACCTCATAAGCCTCCCTACTCCGGGTTTTCTTCAATCCAGCTGTGAAATGAACCTTTGATTTTTCAGATGAGATAGCAGTAACTTTTACCCACATCATCACTTTCGTTTTCATTCCTTCAATGTCAACTAGCTTTCCTTTTTCCAGATATCCAGTAACAGCTGTAGAGAAGCGTAATACAGATGAATCCTTGTAACCGACTTCACATACAGAGGGTATATAGACAGTGAGCTTCCTTGTCTCTTCATTAAACTCATAATTTGTAGCATCCCGGGGGAAAATACCTACTGGAACATCATACTCCTTCAGAAGATCTGGCAATGGCTTTTGCATTTTTCCTACAAAACCAGGATTAAGCAGGGAAGATAAAGGTTATGACTTGTACCAAACAACATAGTACTTTTTAAGCTTGTTGATATAGGTAGAAAATCCTCACAAAAAAAGAACGAGGGATGCTAGTTAATCATATGGCAAATTTTGAACATACAAAAGGGGGGCAAAATGGAAGAGCATGATGAGTTATGCAAAGAGAACGCAAACCTTTAAGCTTGTTCACCAGCCATTTTGTTCCTCCTTCAATACTGCTTTGCAACGACTAATTATTGAAAGGGAAAAGATCAGTATGAACGATAAAGACTGAAAAAAACAGATAGAGAGAAATCCCATGCAGAGAAGTAACTAATGGGAACTAACAGCTCTTATCCTGAGTTCTCCAATTAATTCCAAATTTAGCAAACATATATTAGTTTTCCATAGTAACAGTAATTCTAAAATGGTTTCAGCTGATATGCTAGAAAAGTGACATTATTAACAATTTTCTGAAGTGGAGATTTCTTTTAAATATCCCCATCAATTGCAGTCATTATATTCAGCGCATCAGGAACACCTAAGTGGCTTTGGTTACTCTCTATTTTTTTATGAAGAACTATCGTAACATTATAATACTTATAATCATTAGAATAAAAAAGTTTCTATTGGCTTTTACCAACATCTTGAGGATAATGGTTTTCAAATTGTTTCATCGCATTCATTGGCATGCTCAACTATCCAGTTTATGCTCGTTTTAAATAATAAAGGAGGTGAAGACGCACGGCAGGTTCCTTTAATTCCAGTGTATAAAAGAAATAATATTGTTCTTTGAAAAGCAAGCGATAAATGCAACATCATATGCAATTCAACAAAATCGAAGGCCAGCCACACAAATAAGTGCATGCGCCTTAGAGTAGCAATAGGAAAGCTAGAATTTGTCTACTATGACACTGTCCAGGAACCACATAGAAACAAAAAGAAGATGAAGAACAATAACATGATGGAGAAGTGAATGCTCATCCAAAAAGTTCTGAATTTTTGAAGACGTCAGTGAAAAAACCTAGTGGTATCATGCCTCCATTAAAGCTTTCCGCTGTGCATCTGTGGAGTCTTATTGGACAAAATTAAATCTAGCAGTATTTCTTGGTTATCTATCCATTTTCCATGAAGAAGTGTTTTGCGTTCCCAGATACAGTCAAAGAGCCATTCACCAATAAATATCAATTGAAATACCATGGTATAAAAAGAAAATGGCGGATCATTAATAGAAAAAGATAGCAAGAACCCAAATTAAGAAATCATCACTCTATGAATGATCTCAAGATATGCCAATAGAAGCATCCCCCCCCCCCCCCCCTTTTCCCTTTTGAAATTAACTTCTAACATGTTATGAAAGTTGTAGTAACCCAAATTTTAATCGTTTTGATTAGCTCTGACACGAACCAAAATATCATATAGTGGCACCTGTTGATAACCAAACTACAAAGGAATCGGCAAAATGGAATCTTCACATGCACTCTGTTATACTTCACTAACTCACACCATTAGGTGCTACATTTTCATTAAAAATAACCGAGAAATCGGTCGTTTCCAACTTCGGAACTTGGTCGATAATGAGCCCACTCCTCTATCCTTCTTTGTTTTAAGTACACACTTGGTTTACCCATCATGTTCGAACTCGTAATGTGCACCTACTACACATCTGTACAACCTTTGTCATTGAACCAAATCACTGGGGGGGCTTAAAATTCTAGATCCACATCTAGCTAGGAGGAGCTTATTTAGCAAATTCAGACTATAAGGGATAAAAATTAATTGGTTCCACAAACATAATTAAGAATTCCCAAAATTAGATCATAGCAAAATCTATAAAAACCCTATAGTTGAATAAACAAACAGGTGAATTCCATAAATGTAATTGGAGAAAGTAAATCAAAAGTAAAGATGAGGGGAGAAAGGGCATACGTTAATGTCATCGCCAACGGAATTGAGCTCCTTGTTAGCTCTCTTACCAATCCAGTAGGAACCTACTTTGTTCAATATCTGATCCATTTTTTATATGCTTCTCAGATTTCTATAACCCGATGATTAAAACTCTAATGATCCCTATATGAAGAAGCTTAAAGAAATCTTTGTCGAATTCAGAGAGATAAGGGTATGCTGTGGGGGTGGGCGTGGGGGTGGGGGAGTAGATTTGAGTTTACTTCTTCGCGAATTTTTCCACACCCAACTACGCTATCAGCAGTCCCTTTCGCTACCTATGCAATTCTTCTTTAACTGTGATTTGCGCCCGAAAAGGAAAGAAAACTTTGGTTTTTGCCTTTGCTTCCTTTCGTATTGTTTTGGCAACTAAATTATATAGGGAAATTACAAGTTGTGTCCGCCCACAAGTAAATTAGTACAAAAATTAACTAATTCATAAAATATTACAAATATTAGCTAATTAACTATTTGTAGTCCAAAAAAAAAAAGCAAATTTTTGCTTTCTTTTGAGTGGGTATTGTTGGAATAGATTGAATACATGTTAAAGAATTTAAATCTCAATTTTTAAATGATTTGGTAGAGTTTTGATGTGGTTTGAATTGAAAAT